AATTAGAATTGAGAGAACAAGATGAAGAGATATGGACTAACAAGCGAGAAAAGTTTAAGACAATGTCATTGTTGGAGCTACATGATAGATAAAGAGGGCAAATACTAGGGGAACAACAGAACATTTGGATTTCTAATTAGATGAGCTTCCAATAGAAGTAGGATAGAGCTCCCATAACAACAACAGCTACGCCGAGCTTTTGGATGTGGCCATTGATGGGGAACTGTGAGTGAAGGTGAGACTTGATCTTTGCATCCATATGATCTTTCAACTGAATTGTTACTGCATCCAGAGCTCGCGTCATCTGCAAGTTGTTATCATTAATCTGGTTCCTCAACTCTTGGTCCCTACAGGCGAGCCATGATCTCTGAGACTCAATGTCGTCCGTTGTTTTTAGAGAGAGTGCTTGTAAATCGTGAAGGAGATCCAGACGCTTGGCATCAACCATCCGAACCTCATCGAGTATTGCCTCGTCAACCCATTTAAAAAGATGAACCTCTGATTTTCTCTGTTCAGGCGAAAGGTTAGAGATCGATGGCTGTGAGATCGAAATTGATGGGTGATTATTTTACGGATGGAGATAAGAAAAAAATACCTGCAGAGCAATTTTGCATCTATAGAACCGGCGACCAGGATTTTTCTTTGTTTCTGAAACCCAGGTATAAAGGCCCTTTCCACACCAACATCTTTTTGGGACACCGAAGACGGTTCTGCGGGTTTCTGGAAGGGACGAAGAGGAGGAGGAGGAGCTCATGTTGTTAGACGAGAGCGTAGGTGAGGAGGAGTGGAGTTGAGGACGAACCCTAATCGGAATCCCAAATTAAATATCTTCAACGTGAATGAGAAGGGGGCGGTTTATGTTGGTTTTATTGGTAAACCGAAGCGAAAGAAAAACCGGGGGTAATTTATCAGATTATAATATTTGTAGACAGTTGTGGTCGGGTAAGGTGTGGTCGGGTAAGGAAATTGTATTGTGTGGCCGGGTGGGGATGTGGACACCCATTTCATGAAATTATCATGACCAATTAGTTTTGTTTTTATTGGGGATTAATTTCTTAATTGTGTTAAGTAATTGGTATTTAACCGTAGTTGTAATTTGAGATGTGGAAAACCTAAACAGTTGAACTAGTTAGCTGACATTTAAACAAAGATTAAGACTAAATGTTTGGTGCTAAATTGGCGGCAAATTATAGAATAATTTAAAACACAAAGATTAGGAATAAGAAGTAGACCTAATAGATAACGTGCTTACAACCCAAAAGATTAGCCTAAAGTTTAGTGGAGGTCTGATGAGACACACATAAGGTGAGTTATAGAAAGGGTAAGAGACAAATAAGCTAACATCTTAGTTCACAACCACAGGTATCAAACACATAAGGTGGTCACTCATTGGCGGGATCGTAGTAAGTAGGCAACACCATTGTCTTGTAGATGTCAAGCGTGTACTGGTTGCGGAGGTCATTAACGGTCTGGTCTGTAAGCCTTGACATGTGCGGTTCTGGATCACCGTGAGCGTGCATCTCCAAAAACTTGATAGTGACTGGTCCACAGTCTCCTGATCTCTCGTTGATGTAGAGGTCTTGGCTACGAGACCATGTAAAAGGCTCCAGACCGTGGAACTGAGTGAGCTGGTAGTTTGCCACCTTCTNTTGCGGAGGTCATTAACGGTCTGGTCTGTAAGCCTTGACATGTGCGGTTCTGGATCACCGTGAGCGTGCATCTCCAAAAACTTGATAGTGACTGGTCCACAGTCTCCTGATCTCTCGTTGATGTAGAGGTCTTGGCTACGAGACCATGTAAAAGGCTCCAGACCGTGGAACTGAGTGAGCTGGTAGTTTGCCACCTTCTTGACAAGATAAGGTAGTGCCTTGAGGAGCGGGGTCATGAGCCTATCAACAGTCTTATCGGTGTACAAAGTCGGGAGGGGGTCTAAGATTTCGACACATCCCAGGTCGAGGTTGATGGAAAGGCCAACCCAGTGCTTCTCGTTCCATAGCATGGGTGTGTAGACAGTAATAACATCTTCCATCCACTTACAACCAGGCTTGAGTACAACCTCGGTGAGGGCGTCAGGCCAAATGAATGTCTCTCTCTTTCTTGATGCCATGAACTTTTTGGATATCCGCTGGATTACAAATGTAAAGTCCGGAGAAGTGAATGAGAGGTTTTGTTCCTCGAGCATGAGGCTATGCCTTTCAGCTAGCATGTACATGAGAACCTCCATATGCTGGAAAATTAGAGAGATTCATAAACAAATTTAATCACTACAAAAGCATTCCATAATAAAGTAACAAAATTGAGTCTAGAAACTGTACATAAAAGGATGTCCACTGCTGAGGCTCCGCTAGTTGTAAGAGCCATTTGTTGGAGAACCCGTGTTGAGAAGGTGTTATGTGGTTCCTGTGGAGAGATGAGTTCGAATTAGTAATCGTGTTTTAGTAGGTGAACACATTTAAAGACTACTTACACATGCTTGATCTGTGCCACCACACGGCAAAAATGATCCCATTGTTTCCAAGGTAAGGGTGCAATTAGAGATTGAGGTGGGATATCTTTGCAGCTTCTTAGGTCTTTTGCTAGGAGGTTTTCATAACGATCTGGGATGTGCTTAGGTTCTTCTCCGTCACTCACTTCTACAGCTTCGGTGACAACGCTTTGATGAGCCTAGTGTGTTGTAAAGGACTGAGGTTAGCAAAAGGTAATTGAAGACAACACCAAGAATTACAACGAAGGGCATGGAATGAGTTATCTTACCTTTTGATTGCTGCGGAGTGACCGGGGAGTCGAAAGAGGAGCTTGGGGAGAAGCGGTAGCTGAAAATGCGTTGAGTACTGCAGCATGACTTATGAAACCTTGCAGACTATCAGAAGTCTTAGACGGAGAAGGTTGTGGTGTGACAGGACCATCATACCAATAGGGAAGAGGATTTTGGGATGCTTGGTTAGCTGATGAGTCGTATCTTGGTTGAGAAAGAGAAGGGGGGTCAGGGCTTAAAGGTTGGAATATTCCAACGGCTCGGAAGAGAAGGCTTTGGACAGGGGGGCTGTTAGGGTGGTGAGAGGCATCGTAGATAGCTAAGGTTGTGTGGGGGACAGGTGATTTGGGTTCTGGAGTGTGGAAGGATTTGGTGTGGACATGTGAAGTGTTTTCGGATGTGTGGATGGGTGAAGTACTTCCGGAGGTGTGGGTCGGTGGAGTGTTGTTGGGTGAAGTGTGGACAGGAGAATCGTTGATGGGTGGGTTCTGCTGTTCTGGAGTGGTGTGGACAGGGGAACTAGTAATAGGAGTTAGGAGGGGTGAAGGGTGGTCAGGAGAATGAGAGAGGGGTTCTGGTTGGAGGTTTGTAGTGTTTGAAGGTGTGGTCTTCGTTGCTTTCGGTGAGACATAATGTTGTGCAGCATATTGGCTGACAACAGGGGAGCTCCTAAGAGTGGTATCTTCCTCCATGGGCACTGGAAACTACAAAGGAGTACATATTATGTAATAGTTAAAAGAAAATTGAAGTTAACATGGAGAAGAAACTTAAAAGTATATTGGTGAAACTTACAGTCCGTGTGGGAGATTGAGCAAAGCCCATGTCTGAAGGTTCAGTCTGACACCCGCGGTGTGATTGGTGTACTTTCTTGGTCCGAGCTAAGAGAGAGTGGAAGGCAATGCGCTTACGGTAGGTAGGCGTCTTCGGTCGTTTGAGCAGTAGACGCAACAGTTTGGTCTCTTTTTGAAGGTTGGAAACCGTGTCAGATAATTCAGATAGCACTTCCATTAGTTTGTCATTTGAATTGCTGGATGAGGCGGCTGCTTGAAAGTAGGAGCTGATGCGTTTCTGCTTACGGGACGTGGAGGGTTTGTTCGATGTCTTCCTTGGTCTGAGTTCTTTCTTGGGATAAGAAGGAGTTTTGCTGGAGAGCTTCTTAGAAGTTGATTTTGACTTTGAAGTTCTCATCTTCACAACAGGTTCCTCCTCTGCATTTGCGGTGAGGACAGGACAAGAAGTGTCACCACCATGCCATAGATACTTGCCAAAGGGTTGATGGGTTGTTATCAAGTCCTCCATGTATGAGACTTTGTCATCGTGACACAAATCAGGCCAAACTCCCCATCCAGGATGTGGTTGACTTTGTACANTGACTTTGAAGTTCTCATCTTCACAACAGGTTCCTCCTCTGCATTTGCGGTGAGGACAGGACAAGAAGTGTCACCACCATGCCATAGATACTTGCCAAAGGGTTGATGGGTTGTTATCAAGTCCTCCATGTATGAGACTTTGTCATCGTGACACAAATCAGGCCAAACTCCCCATCCAGGATGTGGTTGACTTTGTACATGTATGCACGATGTCACTGCAAGCTGAATTCAAACAGAATGCAAAATCAGGAAACCACAGTTACTAACGGAAAGAGAAACGATGATGGAGTAGAATGCAACTTACATTAGGTTCAGCTTCAACACGTAATATATCGAGGTAGCTAATGGATGGGTAAATAGGAAGATGATCTTCATCCAGATCCATAATGGTCCCTACGTAAGATGGATAAGGGATTGTGGACAGCAGTCTTGGAATGGCTTGGAAAGCCAGAAGTTGTAGTGACAGGGGAAATCCCTTTAGTCTGAATGTTTCCTGCTTTAGCTGGTCAACCAGTGTCCCAAGGGGATCAGGACACTTCTTAGAGTTGAACTTCGGAGGTTTCATGCAAGTTATAGTCTTTAGAAAAGACTCTCTACCCCAGGGGTGTGAGCAGAAGGCATGGATGTCTTGGACCACCATCTTAACGTACTTAAGCGTGGGGCGTGTGGTTTGTTGATGGGCAATGAGGACACCATCCACAATTATTATTAAAGCCATACAAAGCTTCTTCCAACCAGGCATGCGTGTGTCTTTCTCTAGCCTATGGCGTAAATCAGCTATGGTTGGGAACTTCTTCTTTCCTAAGAGCTTGATCCAGTCGGGATCTTTGTGAGCTTGAGTCTGGTCTTCATGTACCGTCGTGTAGCCTACAGGGAAAGCTCCACATGGTAATCCTGTGATGGTGCCGAACTCCTTGAGACCGAACCTGATGGGATCACTTGCAAATACGGTCCATAGAGTGTGAGGGTCATCAACAACAAGTTGTCTGGTGAGGCAGGCGTGTATCATTTTACACGATACGGGGCATTGACATGCGGGAAGATCGAATAGCTTCCCAAAGCAAGAGTCTTTAATGAACTGGAACTCATCGGTGTCCCGTAGGACATGACGGATGAAAGCAAGATGGTCTGGCTGGCTTGAAGTAGATGTTAAGTCGTCCGTTGGGGAAGCGGTCGGTGGCGAATAGCCTCGGTGGGAGGTTGAGGTCAGGTAGATCTAAAAGTAAAAGAGAAGGAGAGAAGCTAGTATTAAGTTCAGAAACAGAGATGCATGTTCAAAGTGTTACAAAAAAAAAAACAAATTCTCATAGACGAACTCAAATTAGGGACCCAAGAGAGACGCATGTGCAAAAAACATGAAAGAGAGGATGTCCAGAAGATAATCGAACTCAAAATCGAAAAACGAAAAGAAAATCGGAGACTATAGGGTTCGCGGTGTGATAGAGAAGTTATGAAACCAGATCTACTAACCTGCCATGTCTGGGAGNAGAGAGACGCATGTGCAAAAAACATGAAAGAGAGGATGTCCAGAAGATAATCGAACTCAAAATCGAAAAACGAAAAGAAAATCGGAGACTATAGGGTTCGCGGTGTGATAGAGAAGTTATGAAACCAGATCTACTAACCTGCCATGTCTGGGAGTTTGCCGTGTGAGACTCTAGGGTTCGGGGAGTTCTGGAAGTTCGCTGTGCTTGTTCGTGGAGTTCGGGGAGTTCGTCTTGGAGGTGGCCGTGAGAGTTCAAGGAGCTCGAGAGTGTGAAGAAGACGGAATTGGAGAAAGTAAGAAAATAGGGTTCTTGTCTGTCGCGTATGAAGAACAGACAAGAGGAGGAAACTGATTTGAAAAAAGGGAACCAGATCTGGGATTTGAACTTTACAATAGAAGAGAACCAAAACAAGATTAAACCAATAGAAGTTGGTTTGGTCTAGGAAAAATTCTAACCAGAAGTTGGTTTGGGTTAATGGGAAGGGAGGGCTTATGAGTCTTTACACTAAAAGAAAGGTTGTCACATGTAGAATGTGGCCTATGATGCAATATGAAAGACAAAATGTGCCTTAGAGAGTAAAAAATTCTTTTAAAAAAGATATCTATATCCCCTATATATTATTTGGGGATCATTTAAAAAGTTGTAACCTTAAGTTTGTATTAATTAAAAAAACTTCAATCCTATGTGGCATATCTCTTTGCCTTCTAAATTCTATTTAACACAATTCTAGAGCACCTTACATATACCATAGTTTAAACATATATTTAATAGAAAGATGTTGGTCACATATCTTATTAATATTAAAAATTTATTATTTATTATTTCCTTAAATAAAAGTTACGGAATTACCTAATGTGATTAAAAGATATATGACAATTAATGATTTCCGTAATAAATATTTGCTAACAGTTTTTATACTCTCTACCATATTTTTTTTTAAAAAATATTTTTTTATAAAAATAATTTACACAATTACATTATTTATATAATAAAATTTATCTTTTTCGTATATATTGTATTTTGAATTTTTTTAAACAGGTATAAATTACTAAATTGTTAAATATCTCAAATAAACTTTTTGTGATCACCGGTTTAAATTTTTAGTATAATAAGATACAAATAATTATAAAATACATAAGTAGGACGTCTTATTTAATATGTTTATATTAATACATACATATATAGTTAAATTAAATTACATATCATATATAATACATACTTATATTTTGATATTTTTCCTCGGAAAATATTGAGAATCTAATATTTTAATTTTAAAATTTTCATTCAATTTTAATAGTTCAAAATTTTGTTATAAAAATATATTGATAATCATAAAACCTTATCTAATATATGATGGATAAAATGATTGTGTTGATTTATTTACCATAAAATGATTGTTAATAAGAATGAATAATCGTTTGCATTAAATGCACACACCAAATCCTTTTTATATTAATTGAGGATCATTTAAAAAGTTATAAACTTAAGTTTGTACTTATTAAAAAATTATATCTTATGTGGCCGTTCTCTATGAAATTCTACTTAGAATAATTCTAGAACACCTTATATAAAACATAGTTTTAAAACTAAGTCCGTTGGTTTCATATAAGACATATAACTAAATAACATATCAAACTAAATCTCCTATATATTCTTTCCTTAAATAAAATTTACGAAATCACCTAATGTGATTAAGATATATATGATTATTAATGATTTTAAATAGTAAAGATTTGTTATAACAATCTGTAGTATTCTTTATATCATTTTTTTAATTTTTATTATTAAAATAAATTACATAATTACACTAATCATATAATAAAAAATTAGAATTTTTTATATATGTTGTATTTTGAAATTTTAAAACGAGTACAAATTACTAAAACTGTTAAAATCTCACATAAACTTTTGTGATCAAGGTCTACATTTTTTCTATGATAAATTACAATGATTATAAAATCATATGAATAAATAATTTTATTTTAATAGATGTTTATGTTAATATATATATATATATATATATATATATCATATCGTAATAAATAATTTTATTTTAAACATAATTATAATTTAAAATTTAACTTAATTTTTTTAAAAAATTATTTTTATTTTAAAATTATTTTTTAAAAATAGATTTTTTTGATATTATTAGACAACTAAATAAATTATATTAAATTACTTTTAAAACTTTATATATTCTAAATGTGAATATTCTATCAACTGCTTCTTAAGAAAGCATTAGGGAACTTGATAATGCTTTACCAGTTAAGCCATGTGACATTCCGTTTATTTTTCATCTCTCGAACATTGAAAATTGAAAAGATATATGAACCGGACCGATTAAATTACAAGTTTTAATCTACAGTTCTATTCTAATTACAATTGTTTTTGATCCTACATATAGATAATTATATTAAAATTCCAAATACATATAAAAACAAGCATATGTAAATTTTAAATTTGTGAATACTAAAATCTTATATTTTAGTTATATACACTCACCTTGCGCAAGACGAGGTCTTATCCTAGTATATATATATATAAAGTAGACTTCCCTTATTCTAGAGAAAACCACGTCACTAATTGAGTTTCTAAGATGTTGCCATGTGGCACTTGAAAATACAGTCTATAATCAAATGATCTTCTTCTTATTGACGAACAAGATCCCTGACGTTACGAAAGTGTATTATATTCAATTGTCGTTGTTACGGCCTTCATTAAGATTACTCCTTCCTTCTTTGGGGTGAATCTCCAACTATAAATAAGGGAGCTTCATCTCGCTGAGATTCATCAGTTTATTCCTCTCAATATTTTGTATTTAAAATTTTTAGAGATAAAAATGGTAACTCCGCTCTTTTTTCGCTGAATTGAAAGCGACCTTTGTACAATTGTACCACCACCGTTGAGGTTTGGTTGTTGAGGTATTGGGAGGCCAAACGGTTCATATCTGAAGCAGCACCACCTACATCGCGTCTCATCACAGATTAACCTCCAGCATGACACAAGCTCGAAAAAACCCGCACCTCCGTGAATCAACAGAAGAGACACTACAGAAGGCTTGGGTTACACATCTCAGATCTGACCCCACCAATATGATTTGTAAAGTCAGAGACTACAAACAACACCGGTGACTTGCTACACCTATGTCGTCTTATGAAGAATAATTTTTTTTTTTTATCTCAATTGACAGGAACGAAAAAGCAGAATCAACCTAGGGTATCGATACTTATCTTACCAATATATCATAATTGGGCTTCTTCGAACCCAAACAAAAAATAACTAAGGAAGTGGACTTTTTTAAAAAGTCCACTATTGGATTCTGTTATACTAGAATCTAAAGATCTATTTCTGTAAAAAAAATAATAATAATAATTGCTTCTTTTTATAAAAATGCCACAAAATGTTAAAAAAAAGTTATAAAACAAGAGGCAAAAGAGAATGGTATTCACTTCATTAATATCATAATTAATTTAATAATTAATATATTATATGTGTTCAAATTTAATGTGTAACTTTGGTTAAATAGTAACTTTAGGTTTGTAATATACTTCACATATTCTAAAAAATTCACAAAATTAATTAAACTATGAGATTAATTAATGAGAATGAGACGACCATGCTAAGTTTTGAGATAGAATTTAACACATAATAAAACAAGTGAATTATATGAAATCACACGTCACCATTATCATATTCCGTAACAGAATTCATTTAGTATTTTTCTCTGGTTTTTCCGTTGAACAAATATAATCATTACTCATTCTACATGATTTTAAAAAAAAAGCGACGACAATCCATTGACAATTCAGAAAACAACAAAACAATATTTACCATTTGTGAGTCGAAGTTACAAAAAAAAGTATCATTCTGAATAACAAGCACCCACAAAGCACAACATCCTCGAATCTGATGAATAAACCTCTTATCTAATACTCATGTAACTGACCTTACAAAGGAAAATGATCCCTTGAATCCAGCTGTAGTTGGGGTGATGGCGTAAGTTGTTCTCTGTAACAAAGGTCACTGAGAATGATGTTGTCAATGGTTATGACTGCAATGTATCAACTAATTGCAGGTGCTCAAAAAGCTAACCAAAGGCAGTTATGGTCTAAGGAAATGTAGGAAACTTCATTCACATATTGCATAGTTGTAACTTGGTGATGACTGAACTTTCCACTGTAGGCACGGTTGATGAAGAATTGGCCACAGTGAAGTAATAAGACTTCTGAAAATATTTAGACCCATCTTTAAATGCCTAAACATTCAACTAGCGATAACAGTGGTATCCCTAACAAAATGAACTCCATAGAAAATATACATGCATATAGAGTAATATCTAAGAAATATAAGAAGGCTAGACAAAAAGTTATTAAACAAGCTTCTTTCGTTTCACGTATAAGAAATACTTATTTCTAATTGTTTCAGAAGAAGCTACAAATATTTTTACTGAAACACACAACAAGTTCTTGAGCTTTGCGGAAGGAAATAAAGTCATGCAAGAAAGGAATGGATGGTAGGTTCCATGTCATACAATTTGGTAATCATCTGTCTCATTTTCTTATTTCATATTTTGGACGTCCACTGCAACAACATCTGAAATGAGCAGAGGTGAATACAAAACATATTACCAAATAACAAATCTAAAAGGAAAAGTTAAAAATTTCGTGCGCCAACATTTTAGAATAAGCTATTACGATAACGTTTTAAAATAATACATGCATTACCCATCAGCTTCCAAAAAAATTATACACATCGAATTTTTCAACACATATCAATCACCAACAACAATAATATACGTGCAAATAGTTAATAAAAAGGTAACCTCTCTACTAATGTAACCCCTCTACTAGACTGATGTTACCTAAACAGAACAATCAAACAAATAAATCACACAGTTGAATACTACAAAACTGTGAATAACACAATTCACATGTCGACATCTCACATACCAATATAATCAATTAAATTTAAGAACTAATTAATACAAGCATTATGTTAAACATTTAACAAATATCCCGCGCGTAGGACGGGCCGATCCTAGTGTCCTATAAAAATATAATATGGTATCAATCTAACTGTTGATATATATATTTTCCTTTATTAAGATTTCTATTTTTTAGCAAAAAAATATTAAATTAGTAATGACTAATAACCGTTATATCATCATTAATATGCAAAATATTTTTTAAAAATGTTATGTAAACAGATTATTTAAATATATAAGAATAAATTTATTTATTCTTATAATCGGTATAGCTTTTAGGGGTTTGTTGATGAAAATGTAACTTTAGTTTATTTTTTATATCTAAAAATTAGTTTAACATTTAGTTTAAAATTAATATATATATATATATGTATATCATTATCCATTTAATACACAACTAAGGAAAAATACTAATTACTAATTTTAATTTATTTTTAATTATCTACATAGCATACATGATATTTTTAGTCTCTTATTCTAAATAAATTTATTTAAAATGTTAAATTATTTACCAAATTTTACAATGAATACTGAATTTATAGATTTGTTAATTGAAAATCTTAAATATGTTCATTATCTCAAATTATTTGTAGTATTTTATTTTTAAATAATTTTATATATTATTATCTATATAATAAATAGGTAATAAAATTACTAACAACTAATTATATTTTTATTAGTATCTATAAAATATGTCAAAATAGTATGTAAGAGAAAGTTTTTAAATCTCTCTTTTTTTTTAAGAAAAAAAAATCTTATTAAATGGACATGATTATTGATGACATAAATCTGAGCAATGATGAAACAATTTCCTTAACCACATATTTGTGATATATGATTTATTTGGTTATTGATTTAAGTTAGTTCTTGATTTAATTTTTAAATTGAATAAAATAAATTAAAAACAAAATAAAAACTACTAACCAATCAAATTAAAACAATTAATTTGAGAGTTTTTCTATTAGTGACATATCAGCAAGAATCACTAAAATGATTTCTCAGTTAATACAGAGAATATTGAGAAACTTAAATTTTGCATTCATACTTTGTATCTAGATGCAAATATATAGACATTTATTTTTAATATATAATAAATATAGAGATGCAGATTTTAGTTTTAAATGGAAAGAAATCAACTGAGAAAGGTAACAAGCAATTATTTACAAACTAAATAACAAAACAGATAATGAATATCAACAAAGGGGTTTTTAACATAAATATCATCAAAGTTATCAGATTTTTGCATTTAATTGTTGTGTATATAATGTATGTGCTATCTCAACAAATTAACGAATATAGTGAGTTCCTATTTACATAACGTGAGTACGTACGTATGTGTCTGTATAAGTCTATGTTTGCTGTTTTTTTTTTTTTTTTTTTTTTTTTTTTTTTTTTTTTTGGTGTTGCTTATGATTGATTACTTATACATAATGCCAGCACTTGTTTCTGATTGTATTTGTATATATCGCGTGTATGTGCATATATTTCATGTGCAGATTGTATATTTCTAATCTAATTGTTTAGAATGTTTCTTGTTTACAGATTTGAAGCATCATATATATTTTGTTCAAAACAATTATAGGCCGAAATAGTTTGTATATAAGGATTAAGTTCAGTATCTATCTTTCAATCTAAATGTATATTGTTCTAAGATTAATTTTCTAACAACGAAATGAATTAGTTGGTTGGAAAACAGAACATGATATGTTTGATGAACCTGCTAATTATAGGAGAAAACTATCCCCATGCGTTTGGAACGATTAATAAAAGCTACATTGATATTTAGTGATGATACTAGTTTAATTAAGATTTAAAGCATGCCGAAGAAAGCTGACATGCATGAGATATTAAATGACAACTTCTCCTATATAATCCTCATTGAATATGTTTATGGGATTGCATGCAGGTCTCCTTAATATCAAAATCACAACATAAAGCTATGTCTCTCGTGACTCAAATGCTTGGCGAAGGAGAAGGTGACATCAAAACTTAGCATGCTCAATTAATGGAAATTTTCTTTTCCTCTACTTACTAGGACTTTGAATATGAATCTACTTGTTCCCAGTTTCAGAAAAATGGTAGAAATATGAGTAAGACCTGACAATGATTTTAAGGGGAATATAATATAATTTCTTGCATTTAGATTAACGCATTTGGAATGTTGTTGCAGTGGCGGATTTATGTTTGTGGGAAAACAAGATAAAATCAGGCATCACACTTGTAATGGCCACACTTATCTGGTTCCTACTAGAGATCATGGAGACTCCATTTGTACCCTTTCTATGTTCAATCTTGTTACTCCTGATGCTTCTTCTCTTCCTCTGGGTCAAGTTTGGACAAATCCTTTTCACTAGGTACTTGTCTCACACACACACACACACACTATCTTCTTTTTTAAGGTGATCTGATCTAGCTCTTCTAATAACAAATAACACTATAAGCTTAAGGATATACATGTTGTGATATCTCAAATAGGAGACCCCCCACTCCTGAAGAAATCAAACAAGAAGATTCCCCAGTTAGAGCCTTATTTTCAAAGATCGAAGGCCTTCTCTTCATGCTTTACGAGATTGCATATGGGGAAAACATCAAAACCTTTCTCACTGTGAAGCTTCGTTGCCACTATTTTTCTACTTTTCATACAATAAACATTTTTTCATTTATTAAACTTTCATTATATGCAGGCCCTACTTTATGTGGTCATCGTAGACACCGTTGGGAGCTACATCAACCTCCTCACGATTTTGTATATATGTAAGGAAATGTCAAAATGACCGGACAATCTGTCATCTCAGTCTCTCTCTTTTATTTCCTAATAATTTTTCAATACACACGCCTTCCAGGCTTAGTCTGCTCGATGACGATTCCAGTTTTGTACCTGCAATTACAAGAGGTTACTGATAATTTCATTGAGGACGTAACAGAAGAGAAGAACAAGTTACTGGAAGTACTCAAATCTAATGTTCTCGATAAAATTCCTAGGGCCACCAAGGAGGAGTAGTACTAGGTCACTGGAGTTCTGACTGGAGTTTCCAGATAGTCGGGGTCGGGTAGGGCTAGCGCCGTATCACCTAATCAGAAATTAAATGTGGATTAATCAGAGATTTGTTTCATGGCTTTTAATATTATATTTTAGTTAATAATATTAAATATTGGTTTTACAATTATATAATGCAAAAAGAAACAAGGATTTTCCCTAGCTTAACTCTTGTTATTAACTCATAATTTGATTTTTTTTTTTTTTTTTTACAATTTTTGGTTAAGAGATGGCTTTTATTATATCTCTTATTTAACAGACAATTATTAATTTTTCTTAGTTAAAATCTAAAAGCTAAGAACCATCTTTTAACCGAAGCTAATAACCCCAGTTAAGAAATTTGGGCTAATCATGGTCTTAAATGACTACCAACTAACGGGGTCGACCCTCTTTCTATTCTTATGGCGGGAAATCATGTTTTCAAAAAATAACTTGAATTTATCACAAAATCATCTTTTCTCACCAGAATCATAAATCATGTTTTCTTGCCAAAAACTGCAAAATTCTGTTTTCTCATCAAAATCATAAAATTATGTTTTCCCATCTAAATCCTATTATCTTATTTTCCTACCAAAACTATAAATTATGTTTTCTGATAAAGTTCCAAAATTCTATTTTATGACAAAATTATATTTTATGATAAAATTATAAAATCGAGTTTTCCCACCAAAATCGTAAAATATTGTTCTCTTGCCCAAACCGAAAATTGAGTCTTCCTCCCAAAACCAAAAAAATCATATTTTTTCGCTGAACTTGCAAAATCGTGTTTCATGCCAAAATCGTAAAATCTTATTTTCCCACCAAAATGTGTTAGCCAAAAAGTTAAAAAATATTTTTTCAAAAGTAATAAATTTTTACTTAACAGTTTAAATAATAGAACTATTATTCATGGTTTAACCATGAAAACCATTAACTCATTAACTTAAATGAGTTATGAATTTATCCAATCAATTTGTCAAATGGGTTGGATTAATCGATAATTAATAATCCATATAACATTAAATCCATTTGGATATGGTTTAATTTGGGTGGATTTACTCATTTTGACAATTTTACATAGGGGTTTTTGCAAATTTGACTCAAAACTCATGGTCAAACACAAAACCAACTTCTTCTTTTATCTCATCTTGTGTTTGTCCTATCCACCCCACATCTTCATTTTATTTACGAAAATGCCATTAAATTTTTTTTTTTTTACTTTTTTCCAAAATGGCATTTTTACTCTCTCAACCTCATCATATTCAAGTATTTACAACATTGCCATTGCCATGAATACTCCCAACAACCTTGTACAACCCAAAAACCTTGTACAACCAAGGTTTGAAGCTTTTAATGCACTTAAAATCGATACTCATACTCTCTTTCTCAATTTTTATGAACTAAAAACAACATCTCCTTCACTTTGTCTCCATATTCATGCCAAAAACCCAAGCTTTTGATAGCAAATTTTTTATGGTTGATAGAGCCATTTAAGCATACAATTGTTGGTGGGTTACTTTCGTTCGATGTTCTGGGTGGTTGGAGAAGACTCTGTGTGCAAAGGAAGTCATCTCACCTAGTTTAAGGTTTGA